CGCGCCTGCCGATGTTAGGGAGGAGATCGGCTGCCGGCGTGCCCTCGATGATGAGATCACCGGGCCACCATTCGCCGAGCATGCCGTAGTCCTCCGGGGAACGGTGGCGATGTCGTGTGTAAAAGATGGGGATACCGGCAGCGCGACAGAGATCAACGGTTGAGCGGAGAGAGGGGAGCATAGGCTCCGCAATGGAGGAAAAGTGGTTCTGCATGTCAATCACTAGGAGAGCGGCAGATTTAGGATATGGGTCTCGTTTCCGGATTTCATACTTCTTGTATGAAGCGGCGGAGGTGGCCATTGGAGAGGGCAAGGAAGTAAGTGATCGGAGCCCGGAGGGATGGAACAGCCAGCGGACTGTTTAGGAGCCAGAGTATTGCTGGAAGCTTGTAGAAGATTTGTATGATTTGATGAGATTCAAGTTTTGTGGTTCTAACTTTTCAAGTGTTAATAGCTAATTATTGAAACATTTACCAACATATTCCTATATCAAACTTCTGAGATTTAATATTTATATTTATTATATGTTGATATTACAAATTTATACATAAAAAAATTATTACCTTTTTTAAAAAGTTAATCGCGAAAACATTTTTTATGTAATTGTAAAAATTTCAGTGTTATATTTGTGAATAACAAATTGTAGGTGTTAGTGTGTAAATGCATGAGAATATGTGTTATGTATGTTTGAAATACTTCGAATTATTATGTGATACCACATCAATAAATTCATCATTATACACAAATTTTTAAGCATTTTTTAGTAAGAAATATCCAAACTTAAATTAAAAATTATGCATAAATTTGATTTCAAAAAGTTAGAGTCAGTCTGGTTGGGTTAACGAAATGAACCTAGTAGCACCAAAATTGATCAAATCAAGCCTAAATTAATTCGTTTAACCACATCTAGAGGCTTTAGGCGGTTAGTTTTAAGGTCAAATGAATTCTAAATTTGACAAAGCAATAGTTAAATCGAGCAACTCGATTAGACAAATCCAACGAACTCAAGATTACTCAATTTCGACATCATTAAGGTACTTAAATATATATAAAACGTCTTCTGATTAAGGGAATCTAGAGCATTCTCGGACCTGCTACCTCCGGGCTTTCAGGAGTGTGAAGCAGGAGTCGTTTGACCTACAACATTGATGAGAAGGGGGTCTCGAAACCTGCGATACCAATCTCGAAATTGTTGCAATCAACCAAGAGTCTGGTAAATATTTTCTAATAAGTAAGAATTTTGATGCAAGGTTTAAGGATTTGATGATCCAAACCCTCTGGGACTATCAGGATGTCTTTGACTAACTAGTCGTTGAAATGTCAGGGATACCACTTGACGTCGTCTATCACTTGCTCAGCATTAATCCAGTCGCACAACCAATGAAACATAAAATTAAGTCCTCGTCAATGACTCTAGTCGAACCAATTTGAGAGGAGATGAAAAAGCTTAAGGAGACCAGCTAAATTAGAAAGGTGCAATGCCCAACGTAGGTCTCTAACACGATGATGGTGCAAAATGCAAATGACAAGTGAAGGTTGTCTATGGGCTTCAACAATCTAAACATTGTCTGCCCAAAGGACAACTACAACTTATCAAGGATCGACACTTTGGTGGACTCAGCGGTCGGCCACTCTGTGATGAGGTTCGTGGACATTTCATCAATTAACCCAAAATCAAGATTCGCTCAACTAATGCAGAGAAATGACATTTATAACTAGTGATGGTATATATTACGATAATGTTGGGGCTACATACCAACGCATTATAAATGTCATACTCTCTAAACAAAAAGGTAAAAATATTAAAGTATATGTGGATGATGTACTAGTTGAGAGTTGGTCAACCGAACAATACATAAATGAAAAACATTCCAAATCCTTAGAAAATATATCATGAGATTAAATCCATTAAAGTGCACTTCAGGGCATCAACAGATAGATTTCTCAATTACCTCCTAACCTCCGAAGGTATAAAGGCCAATCCGAAAAAAGTACTGGCATTGTTTAACATGTCTTTTCCTCGGAGCATAAAAGTGGTACAAAAGTTGAACAGTTAAATAACAAGCCTGGACCAATTCATTTCAAAGTAGAGTGACAAATACACACTATTCCTTAAAAAGTGATGGAAGGTGAAGAACTTCGAATAGTCGATTAAGTGCAATCAAGCATTTGTGAAGCTGAAGGATTCCTTAGCATCACCTTACTTCTCTAAAGCACAAAATCAAATGAAGAACTCTCTCTATACTTGGGAGTCAGGCCTGAGGCCATCATCTCAATGCTTGTTCCAGAATAATTAGGAAAATAATTCTAAGTCTACAATACCAGTTGAGTCCTCAGTGGCACCGAGATCAGGTACCTGGTTATGGAAAATCTAACTTTTGCTCTAATTATTTCCTCTTACAGGTTCTGGGCCTACTTCCACATGCATATGATTTGAGTTATCACTGAATAAACATTAAAATATTTTCTCATTAGACCAGAGCATTCTGGTCGGCTCCTTAAATGGTTCGTGGAGCTAAATGAGTTTAACATCTCCTATGTCCCTCGAACCACAATCAAGGAGCAAGCAGTAGCAAAAATTTTCGTAGATTTTTTTAAGTCATGCGAGCCAAATAATGAATCAACTATCGATAGTCAAACTTGGGTCTTACACATTGACAGAGCCTCAAACCAGATAGGAGCGGGGATCAGACTTGCTCTAAGTACTCCGACTAGAGAGCACCTCTACCTTTGAGTCTAAATGGACCCTAATGTCACGAACAATCGTATGTGGTATGAAGTGCTAATTGTTGAGCAGCGTCTAGCTTAAGAAATGAGTCATCAGACTCTCCAAATGAAGTTGGAATCCTAGTTGATGGTGAATTAGATGAACGAAAAATTTGAAGCCAGAGATTAAATGATGGGCAAATGCTTCAACAAAGTTGAAACGGGGATCTAGAAGCTTGTCAACTTCAAAATCTAGCACATTGCCGCGGAGGGAATTAGGTGGCTGGTCTCATATCCAAGTGCATATGCTCAAGGAAGGGAATGCCTAAAAGACTATTCTAGTCGTAATTGAAGAACTAGAAGTAATGGAGGAGGAAATTGAAGGAGCAAAAATCTGGATGTATCTATACATCCACTTTTGTGAGACTGAAAAGATCGCATAAGAGGTCACAAACCCTAGATGATTCAAATGCAAAGTTGCTCAGTACCTACTAATAGTGAGGAAGCTTTTCTAAAATTCTACCAATTTCCTTTATTTAACATGTATAGAGGAGAATAGGGTAAAAGACATCCTCAGGGAGATATACTATAAAGAGTGTGATAATCACTCTAAATGCAAAATCCTGGCACATAGAGTCCAACAACAAGGCTACTTTTAGCTAACACTTCTTAAAGATGTGGACGGATTTTCTACAAGAAGTAAGAAATGCTAGAAGTGGGCACCATTGCAACACAAGCCAACTCATAAACTACAACCAATCATAAGCACTTTGCCTTTCGTTGATTGGGGCCTTAATATCCTCGAGTCTTTCTCAACATTAAAGGGTTAGCACACATTTTTTTCTCCATGAACTACTTTTCAAAGCGGATCAAAGCAAAGGCACTCACTCAGATTACAACATAAGTCATCCAAAACTTCATTTGGACGGACTCATCTGTTGGTATGGGTTGTAACCGATCATCATTTTTGACAACTGAGCGCAGTTAGCTAGCCGAAAAGTGAAACATTTCTAACAGATTCATTGGATCAACTTGAATTTTGCATTAGTACATCATCTCCATACCAATAGACAAGCAGAGATCACAAATATGATTATTATAAATTTGTTAAGAACGAAAGTCGAAGAAGCAAAAGGAAATTGGGATGATATTCTTTTGTCAATCCTCTCGACAGTCCGAACAACACCTTTAAGAGCTATAGGGCAAACTCCCTTCATATTATTTAATGGAATAGAGGTGATGCTGCTTGTCGAATATAACTACCATAGCCAGAGGGTCATAATGACCTCAGTATTTGATGACGAAGATTTGGTCAACTTACAAAAGGTGAACGGTGAAGAGGAAATGCTCGAGCTTGAGTTGGCAGAAGAAAATCAGACCAACTCAGCCTTTAGACAAGAAGAATTCAAGATACGTACAACCCACTACTACAAAAAACACGTAAAAAAAAGTCTTTTGGCCCTGGGGACCTTGTACTTAAGAAGGTCGACCTTGCAACCTGTGGATAGTTGGTCGACAAGCTGAACCAGACTTGGACAAATCCATTCATCATTGACCAAATGGTTGCTTCTAGAGCTTACAAGCTCTAAACCTATGCTGGAAAAGGGTTCCTAGGAGATGTGGAGTGGAGATGATCTAAAAAGATTTTTCTTTAGTCAAAACTTCTTGTATCAATGAATAAAAAATAATAAAGTAGTTTTCTTTTTCAACTTGTAATATTTTACACTAAGGAAATATTAAAGCAATTCAGCTAGCTATGGGCATAATCCCAGGTTCAAATAACACTCAGAAAACTTCAGGAATTTATGTGTTTTGAGGTATAACCGACACTCGGAGAACTTGAATTAGAGCAGTAAAACTAGCAGCGACACCATGATATCTGATCGACATAATATACAACACTAGCCTGCAACACTCACACATCATAATAGTGTCTCCAAACTTGAATTGGATATAGTTCTGAAGGGGTTCTCTATCGAGAAGTTACAAGCTATGTGAGGGATAGCGAGCAAATCACCTCAGAATAAAGCCTCGACGGTTACCCCCATGAAAGCAGCTACAAGATCTTCTTAATAAGCTTAGTGCATGGGTGCTCCATCCGAGGTGGAGATCAAAACAAGCAGCTGAGACTCAGAAAGTGTAAATCGTGAGTCAAGCATCAATATCACAAACCAATCGATAATGATGCAAGTTATCCGATCAGTAAAACACCCCTAAAATGAACGATATTGAGGTAGGATGTCTGATCAACATCTGACGCTTAAAGGGCAACTCTCAACTCCTAGGTATTGAAAATCATACGCCTTTAAACTTGAATCAGGTAAATCTCTGGTTGTGATTTCCTGCTCAGTATATATAAGTTCCATAAAGAGGCACTGAGTAAATTACCACAAAAGTAAGTCTCAAAAATTGTTTGAAGTGGCGACCCGACTGAGTAAATGAGATGAGGGTAGCGTAAGACTTGAATTGAGTGATAAGCACACCAAAACTGACTAAAAAAGACTTGATAAGGTATGCACGATCGATTGTCGAAAGCACACCACATGTAATAAAATGGTAAAGTGTAGTAAAAGTAAAAAATGAGACAATGGTAAAAAAAATTACCAAAGCCCACATTTCATTTCATAAAATCTATTAATCACAAATTCCTTCATTTACAAAAAATTACTATACAATTTTTCTATTACAAACAAAA